GCGCCCCCGAGACGGCCACCGCTGAAAAGAGAAAGGGGGGAACCAGCCTAAGGAACCCTTCCCTGTCATCCCTGGCTACGAATGGGTCAAGGGTGACGTCGGGGAATTCCAGAGCGTCTTCAAGTCATTCTTGGAGATTAATGCGATGTGGAAATCGCATAGGATCTATGAACCATCCATTTCCAAGCTTATCCGGGTTGAACCTTGTCAGCCCGGTGAGCGTGTATATACGACCCTCCCTTCTTTTACATGTATCAGTGTTTCTTCAGGGATTTAGGTGTATGCCTTCCCTTTACCCAATTTGAGTGCGATTTTTTGAATTTTGTCAACTCGGCTCCTTGCCAGTTGCACCCCAATAGTTGGGGTTTTTTGAGGGCTTTTCAAGTCCTGTGCTCGACCCTAGGGATAGGGTTGTCTCTGCCTGTTTTCCTTCATTTTTATTAATTGAAACTGGGCGTCCCTCCCTATGGTTGGGTGTCGTTGAACGGTAGCAAGGCTGGGGGACTATTTTCTCTTTACTCCCAGTCTTACAAAAATTTCAAACAAGAGTTTTTCCGGGTTCTGCTCGTGGAGGTCGACCCGCTGAAAGATGAGGTGTTCCACTTCGGCGGGTTGCCGAGGTTCCCTCTTTACTGGAGGCAGGCTCCAGCCAGGTTTAATGGGTTGGCCAACCTGCAATTGACGGCCTCGGACGTTGCTGCCATTAAAGACCTAGAAGCACTTCCTCGTCCCTTGGATTGCAAGCTCGTTTTGTCGCTTGCTAACTCGATGTACAAGGAAAAGGGTCTAGAGAGTGAGTACCTTGTCCTCGTTAGCTGTTAGGGTTTGTAAAATTTTCTTTTACTGATGTATCTGATTCTTGTATTTGCAGGCATAATGGGCAAGAGCAAGTGGCGCGAGCTGAAGTCTCGCTACAATGTTGCCGAGATCGAGGTTCCTAAGCCTCAAGAGGAGGAGGTCGCCCCCTTGGAGACCCGCAGGAAAAGAAAGAGGGGGGAGAAAGAGGTCGGGGGGACCTCTGCCCCTCGAGATGCGGAGGAGGCGACTTCGAAGGTTGCTGACGCCGACGCAGTTGACCTTACTAGGGAGCCGTGGCTCCCCCCTGTCCCTTAAAAGGTCCGCCACTGTCTGGTATTGTTTTCGATGGGTGTTGAAGAAAGGGGGCGATGTGGGTCATTTTTATGCTTTTGATACAAAATCGAAATGGCAAAAGAAAAAGAACCAAATAAATGACACAGGTTAGATTATTAGAAAATGCCTTGTGAGAAATCTTAGTCAATTAAGTAAACAAACTGAGAAAGAAAAAGCATAAGCTTAACCAACAAAAGATAAAAAAAAATTATGGAATAATTTAGCACACATACTTTCCTTGTGGAAGTTTAACTTCTACTTCATGTCTTGATCCACCTTGTTGCTTTGCCTTGAGTGGTTCTTTCCAATTTCCAGTAAAGTCTCCTACCAAAGTTACATCCTCACCCTGAAATATTAAAACCAAAGGGAGGGTGATATGAATAACCATAAAAAACTTGAAACAGTGATCAATCTGAATAACAATAGAACAAATTTAATCTCTTAAAGAATCAAAAGATAAATTAGCCAGAAAGCCACAATGAAAGCTATGACAAGTTTGTGACATCATGAGATGACCATTCCTCACAAAATGTGGGAATATGAAGCAGAAAGGATTAAAATGACTTACCATTGATCAGTCCTACTAATAAAATTAACGGAAATAATCTCCTAGCCCTCAAGAATCAAAAGATAAATTAGCCAAAAAACAGCAATGAATCTATAACTGACCAGTTTCTTACCTCATGACCGTTCCACACAAATGTAACAGCATGTGTAGGAGGTCCATCATGTTTCCCGTTTTCAACCATAGCTATAAGATCCCATGTTGCCCATGCAATTGCTGGCCTGCAGTTACATCTCTATGAAATGCTTTTCTAAGTGAGAAAGTGGAGAATGCAAAACGACACCCCAAAAAAGTTCAAAAAGGAGAAACAGGAAAAATAGGAGCATGAACAGAAACCAAATAAGCAATTGCTGTTATGATTGCAGGTTTTTTCTTGACTGTCTTTTCAAACTGTCAATGAGATAGGCTAACATAAATATTTGAACATAGCACCAACTTGCAACACAAACTATAGCACCAAGAATTCTGAGAGAAAAAGAATAACAACAGGCATATTTTATCAAGATATAAAAAATAACTAAGAAACTTTGGGTGTGTTATTAGTAATAAATAAAAATGGTGGTCCAATAAAATTGAGAGGAATTTAGTGTTAGAGAAAAATTTCAAGTATTAGATGACAATCATTAAGGTTGGAAAAATACCAATTGTGCAATTTACTTAAATTTTCTTAGGTAAAGCATGATTGATCTAATTCTATCAAAACCCAAAAACTCAATCCAAAAATCAATGCATCAAATAAATTCAGTATTGTTAGATGGAAGCGCCATGGCACAGTGGCATGGCAGATTTTTTGCCAGCCACCATGGGCAACTTGTGAACGGAGGCCTGGTATGGCAGCGCCATAGGCTGCAATGGCATGTTTATATGGTGCAAATTAGCTTTCTTCAATATTCCACCATCTGCCATCGATACCACAGAATAAATCAACAAAAAAAGTAATCAAAGTTAAACCAAACTATATGTGTGCACATGCGTGTATACGTGCATGCATGTAGATGTGTATATGTTCATGTATGGTAACTTTTTTTATTATACTTCAATGTCAAAATTATTCTTGCTTTTAGATTTAGACATATATTGTATAATTGGTAATTAATTTAAAATTATAATTCGAATCTAGATTTGTATTCTAATGAAATGGGTTATACTTACATTTGGTGATGTATTTGATAAAATCAGTCTATATTTTGATGAATTTATTATTGAATTAAAAAACAAAACAAACCAAACCAATCTATATTATATGTATATATATATTAATTCAACAAAATTTATATTTAAATTTAAAAGCAATAACAATTTACCAACATTATTCCCACAGCATATGATAGGACTGCAACACACGGCAGGAATTGGATCAGTTGCTGGACTTGAACACAAAGAAGCCCAGAGTTTGGAGAGTTTATTCTAGAAGAAAGAAAGTGGGGTCAAGGGAAAATTTGTTAGTGAAGAGGCAGTGGGTACAGCATTAGGGATAATTCTGTTAGAATATTAGTTGGATTTAGGGAGATAGTGAGAGAGGTGGGCCATTCAGGTGTATAGTATTGGACGGTTAGAAGAGTTTCTCTATGGAGGAGCTATAGGCTCTGGTTTACTGATTTTCCTTGTCTTTAAGAGCTGTATCAGCTCCATTTTCTATTTCCAATAATGCAATCAGACCAGAATTCTTCCAGGATTTCTATTAGCAAACTGAATATGTTAAAAAGACCACCACGAATAATTCACAACCCTTATTGTCTTCCCAAATAATCCATAACCATTTAGCATGCAAACAGAATAGACTGAAACAGTTTATCCCATTTCATTCTCCTCATGGGTGGAACCAAACTGTACCGCCTTTGTAGCCTAATTTTTCGTCTTGTTCACTTTAAAAATACACCAAACATACAACAGAACCTCTATGTCATGTTCCATCCCATTCTGCACTGTCTACCAAACACTGCCTTATTATCTTCTTTCCACAGCCCACACACATAGTGGCCAGTGAAAGAAACCTGTATAGTTACCCTTTTTTTTTTATAAATTGCATCAAAAAAGAATGCTTTTACATGAATACATAGCATGATCTCATAGCCTCTTTAACAGAATCAATTGAACAGTTCACATATGATGCAAAAGTGTTTGATGTTTGGCAAGATGAACCTGTCAGGCCTGCAAATGTGCATCCCAGTGACCCAGGTATATGCTGCATGAAGGGAAACATCTGTCATCCAATGTAGGTATGCAATCACACAAGCAGGAGACCGATCAAATCCAGAAGTGCAAGTAACATAAACACGAAGATTCTTCCTTAGCAACCGTAATAAAAGCCCAACACAAAATGGAAGTTTTTTCCTCATATCATAAGAATCTCCATCCCTGTGAACACAAGTAATGAAAACTCAAATAAAAGCCGAAATCAAAGACAGAGAGGAAGAAAAATTAGAGTCATCAAAAGTTTGGATTCCATTTCCACATGAAAATATTATTGATTCACTTGATTTTAGAATCAGTGCATTAAAAGACAAAATTTGTTAAATAATATTCAGCATTTTGGCAATTCACAATATAAAGCAACAATCAAAGGGCTAAAGGGTGACAAATGAAGTAAAAGAAATCAAAATGGAAACTAAAGGTAAGACAGGCATAACACAATTGTGTGATGTTTAAGGAGGAATCTTTGTAAAAATACTTGGGTTTGAGCCTAGAGAGACTTGTGATAGAATACTTAGGAGCTGAGAAGTGAGGATTAGGAATATCACTGTATCTTTCAATCGTCTTAGTAGAACCATTAGCTGTGTCAAGGACTATATGTAACCTTAAATACTGAGTGTTGATCTTCTCTAACATCATTTTATCTATTTTTCTAATCAAACGAGAGATTAAATTCTAATGTTTTTCAGGGAAAAATAATCTTGAAAATTCTTTTCACTGTATCATTTAAGTCCTAAGAACAACCTTTTTTTGCATTGTCCTTTAAAGGTTTTCTAAATAAAGTCAACTGATATGTTAAATTGTTTTTAAAAACAACAAAACACAATTCAACCATCCTTCTCATGTTTTATATTCTTATTTTTCAAAAGGTACTTTGACTATGAGTATGTTTGGAAGAACTTATTTACAGCCTATTTGGACATATCTTGTGAATAGTTACTCGTCTCAATGTTTGGATGAGCTTATGAAAATAGTTTTATGATATGACCGTACCCTGGTTTCAACCTATTTCAATAAATTCTCTAGTACAGCTTATGAAAGTAGATTATATCCTATATAAAACAATTCAACTTGTTTCAATAAGATGTTTGAGTATAAAAACAACTTATACATAGGTGCTTACATGATAAGTACTTATCCAATAAGTGCTTGATTAGGTTGTTTACCCAAACACACCCTATATACCTAACAGTCCTAAGCAATGCAGGATTTTAAAAGATAAAAATGCTGGATGAAGGTATGCAAAAAGAAGACACAAATAATCATCATTATGTGAATTTTGAAAATTTTAAATAAAAATGGCATGTGTTTGGCCCCTATATTACCGTATAGCATAGTTGATCATGAGAATATTATTCCTTTGACAAGATTCATTGATTGATTTTGCATTGATTCCCCAATTTTCAGCTTCAGTTCCACTTTGGAAGTTCAGAACAGCAGTGATTCCCTGCCATTATAGTTGGAAAATACAAAATGCTTGATATGAAAAGAAAACTTCATATCGAAATTATTACAGTAAAAAAGTAACAATTTTAGGGTAATTAAGAACAAAAACAATATTCTAACAGTACTCACTATAGCTTAGGAGATGCAATATTAACTAACCAGAAAGAACTGTGACGCATTTGCAGAATCCAAAATTTTCATGGCACAACATGCCTTTGACTCAATACTTTGGTCAAAAGCTTTGTGCATTTCAATAATGCCTTGGATTTTATAACCATGATGCAGTTAACTCGAGTCATTTTCCCTAGCACAGTGTTGTATAAATTAAATTGCAAATATTGGTTGATACTTGATAGCTACAACATTATTTAGTCAACAGAGAAACAAAAATTAAAAAATAGAATTCCACATAACACATTCAAGTTTTGCAACTGAAGCATGTATTAAGTAATTCATTTACACATTAACTGGCAAGGCATCAAACTGGGATTTGGGGGGCTTTCATGGATTTATGGCCACAATGTCCATACCTCAACTTTTGACAAAGTTTCTACATCATCTTCTGTTTGTATACAGGATCCCACATATATTTGCTCTGTAATCTAAGAATTTATAAGATATCAATATTTTATAAATATTGTAGAAAGCATGGTATTGCACAAAAAGATGTAAGCAAGTAAATCCAATGGAACTCGTTACAATAAATGCAATACCTTACTATAACGCATACCAAGAGAGTGATTATAGTACATCTCATCCTTGGAACGATCCAGAGCCTGAATATATTCCTCAAGTGGAAAACTTCCATGAGCCCAGTCTCCATCTCCACACACTTCTTCAGTAAAAACACAAGCAAGCTGTGTTGTGTGTTCAGTAAAGAAGTTTCTCTCACCATGGGTGATGGTATGATGATCTTGATTGCCCAATAAATTGCTTGCATTTGGTTTAAGAAACTTTGAGTTGAACATCAAAAATCCAGAATTCCCACAGCTCTCACTAGATGGTTGTAAATTTGATGCCAATAGGTTCTTGTTCCATGTGGCAATGGGAACTCGACCTCTATTAAACTGTATTTCAAAATCATTCATCTTGTGCAGTAGTTGAATGGGAAAAGGAGATGTGGGCCTCTCAAGAACCAAGCTAAAAGAACTTGTCTGCTCATTTAGCACCTTCCTGAGGAAACCAAAAGACTGAAAAAATAAAAACAACACACTGATGAACAGAATAGATTGTGATGATCAATGAAATAGTAACTCTGCATCTTTCTAAGGTGACTTAGAAATGTGGGCCTATTTCCATTAGACAAAAAGGATACAGAGGCAAAAAGACCATGCTGAGACAGAATTGACAATTTTATTTCAGATTAGAAGAAAAACAAAATGAAGCAAAAGGAAACCAAAACATCCATGATATAATGCCAATCCTTCATCTTTTCTCATTGCCATTAATCATCACTAATCACTTATAGGTGTTACCAATTTCAGCGCACCATCAAAGTTTTTGAACTCATTGTGACCCCACAAGCAATCACATTGTCCGCAATTCACAGTTCCATTTGTCCACAATTTCCCACAATGTAAGGATAATGACAAAACTCATGCCCACGACCGCAATTTAATACATTTAGTACAAAGTTTCGATTTATTTTGCCCATAACTAATCTCCATCACCATCAGAGAATCTGGCTTGCCCACTGAAGGTGTCTCCACAACATTTGCAACCAAGACCTTGTTACGATGTATCAATCAATTTTTGCCTATAACTGATAATTAATCTCTATCAGTAGAGAATCTGACTAGCCCCCATTAAGTGGAAATCATGTTTCTTTCATTCACAAGATTGAAATCAAGATTTTGATTAACAAGACGAGTAACACTCCAACCACAGACTTGTTGGTCGAAATTAGCATTCTCTTATTCATTTCAGGATTGTTATTTATAAAATATTATCACCTACAATTTTAATAGCCATTTACACTAATTCTTTTTTTAAAAGTTTCACAGACATTATAATTATAGTTATCTAAATTTGAAAAAAAATAAATAAATAAATAACCGCTTCCCGAATCCAAGCATGTGGCAAAGCAAAATCAGAAGCCATACTGTGTATCTCCCACGTCTTTAATCTCAACGAGAGTGTTCTGAGACGAATCGCCAGCCTTCTTCAAAGTGTCGCCCACCATAACTATCCTGGACCTCTCCGCATTACCCTACGATCAGAAAA